TTTTTATCTGTCACACATGGGTGTGGTAGGAGTTCAGTCTGCATCTTTGCCCCTCCTACCAGTCTTGGTGTGGCTTCTTCTTTAAATCTCTAGTTGTTGGATTTCTATTCAGCTAGATTTTAGGCAGTTCTCAATGATCATTGCTCTGTACTTCTTTAAAATATGTTTTTATTGAAATGAGAGAGAGAAAGAGGGGGGAAACATCAATGAGAGAATAATATCGATCAGCTACCACCTGCATGCCTCCTACTTGGGATCAAGCCCAAAACCCAGGCATGTGTCCTGACCAGGAATCAAACTGGTGACCTCTTGGTGCATGGGACTATGCTCAACCAATTGTGCCATACTGACCAGGGCTGTAGTTTAGTTATAATTTTATATGGATGTGGGAGGATGTGAGTACCACATTTACCTACACCATCATCTTGACTTGGTTAAAGACAAAGAGAGAACTGTAAAAGCAGCAAGAGGAAAGTAGTTAGTTAACTACAAGGGAGCTCCCATAAGACTGTCAGCTGATTTCTCAACAGAAACTTTGCAGGCTGGAAGGGATTGGCAAGAAATATTCAAAGTGATAAAAAGCAAAGAACTACAACCAAGATTATTCTACCCAGAAAAGCTATCATTTAGAATCAAAGAACATATAAAGAACTTCCCAGACAAGAAAAAGCTAAAAGAGTTCATTACCACCAAACCAGTATTACATGAAATGTTATAAGGGACTGCTTTAATAAGAAGTAGAAATAGAGAGAGAGAGAGAAACATAGGCTTAAATAATTAAAATGATAATAGATAAGTACCTATCAATAATACCCTTAAATATAAATGAAATAAATGCTCCAATCAAAAGACATAGAGTAGATAAGAAAACAAGACCCAAATATATGCTGTCTACAAGAGACTCACCTCAGAACAAAACACTCACACAAGCTGAAGAAAAACAACAACAATTTCTGCAGGACTTGAAGGGAAAGATCAATAGCAATAGAATCATAAAGGACTTTAACACCCCACTGACTTCACTGAATAGATCTCCCAGACAAAAATTCAACAAGAAACCAGTGACTCTAAAATGACACACTAGATCAGATGGATTTAATAGACATTTACAGAACATTTCATCCCAAAGCTGCAGAATATACATCCTTCTCAAGTGCACATGGGACATTTTCAAAGATAGACCACACATTAGCTCACAAAACGAGTCTCTACAAGTTCAAAAAGATTGAAATCATATCAACCATCTTCTTGGACATTTACACCATGGATTACTATGCAGCTGCAAAAAAGAAGGATCCCTAACCCTTTGAGACAGCGTGGTGGGACCTGGAGAGTATTATAGTAAGCAAAATAAGCCAGACAGGGAAAGACAATTATCACATGATCTTACTCATATGTGGAATCTAATGAACAAAATAAACTGATGAACAAAATAGATTCAGAGACATAAAAGCATGAAACAGACTGAGGAATCTCAGAGGGAAGGCTAAGGTGGGTGGGTGGGTGGTGAGAGATTAACCTAAGAACTTATATGCATAACCCATGGACCCAGACAATAGGGTCATGAAGGCCTGGGAGATGGTGCAGGTTGGAGAAGATCAATGGGGGAAGGGGACATTTGTAATACTTTCAACAATAAAGATAAATTAAAACATAAAAAAAGAAATTATACATGTGAAGGTCCTTCTATTGTCAATGTTCTAGGATAGTCTACAATAGTCTTAAGATGTTCATCCAAATATGATCATAGGCTTTAGGTCTTGATTAATGTGTTTATGCAATTTAAAATGTTAAGCATGTGGTTTAAATAACCCTGTTTTTTTTAAACGAACAAATTATCTCACACCCCCCATTTCTCCCACTCCTTATATTTTGAAGGTGGAAAATAGTCCAGAAGGAGATTATAAAAAATTAAGAAATTGAGTTCTGGAGTCATATTTCCTATATTTGAACCCTGGTTCTGACATTTGGCATATTACTTAATTTCTTGTGACTCAGTTTTTAAATTAGTAAAATAGAGATAATAATGGTACCTACTTCACAAGGCAATTGTAAGCATTAAGTGAATTAATACAGGTAAAGCACTTAAAACAGAGTAAAAGCTCTATAAATGTTAGGTAACATGATTTAAAGGCATACTTTTTAACTTCAAGTAATTAATAATTTCACAGAGTGATGATTCCACTTTGAGAGAAAATATTAACACATATGGAAAAATATTAAGTGCCAAGCGGTGTACTAAAGGTTATATATACATATGACATTAAAGAACAAATTCATGGTGAGCTTGTAGGTGATTGAAGTATGGTACGTTTCTGTGTGGGAGGAAGTGGGACAGTGAGTTGTAGTGAGAACAAAGGCGAAAGCCTGGAAGTAGGAATAAGCAAGCAACAAGATTCTTTTATGTACAATTCAATTTAATTATGGCCATATTTTGTTCTAATTATTTCAAAATTGAGAATTCATGTAGCAAGTATGAATCAATATATTTAAATAACAAAACCCATCTCTAAATACTTTTTTTGTCATTTTAGTTTTTTTATTTTTCTTTTTTCCATGAAATCTTAAAATTAAATTTATTGGGATGACATTGGTTAATTAAGATTAAGGGGGTCAAATATATGGTGACAAAAGGTTTGACTTTGGGTGGTGGGAACACAATACAATATACAGATGATGTATCATAGAATTGTGCACTTGAAACCTATATAATCTTATTAACCAATGTCATCCCAATAAATTTAATTTTAAAATTTCATGGAAAAAATACTTTAAAATTATTTCACACTGTATGTTTTTAAGGTAAAACTTTAACATATGTATATTAACATATGAATGTATGCTAATGATCACATTTGAATTTCAAAAATGCCCTGTAAGAAAGACAGGGCAAGTATTATTCCCATTTTACAAATTAGGAAGCTGATGATCAGAGTTTATGTCCCTTGCTTAAAGTTATACCACTGCTAAATAATAGAGACTAAATTCACATCCAGGTCTTCTGGCTCCCAATGTAGTGCTTTTCTACCATACTATATTTACTGAATAGCAGAAAGCTTATTAAATGAGAAATGAGGACTGACTTCTATGATAAATATTATATTTGATCTTTGTCTCAAGCAAGGAAAAAGTGATATAGAGTGAAAGTATAGGTACTGCCAAGTCTCAGGTGTGTTAAACAAAAATAAATGGGCACCATGAATAATACTGCAAGGAACATAAGGGTGCATATATCTTTGTGAATATCATGCTAAGTTCACATGAGAATATTATGCTAAGTGAAATAAATCAGACAGAAAAAGTTAAAAAATATATGATTTCACTCATATGTGGGATCTAAAACTGAAAAACAACAAATGAACAAATAAGAAAAACAAACAAAAACTCATAGATACAGACAAAAGAATGGTGGTTACCAGAGGGAATGGGGTGAAAGGTAAAGGAGGTCAAATATATGGTGACGGAAGATGATTTGACATTGGGTGGGGGGCACACAATGCAATATTCAGACCATGTATCATAGAATTATACACTTGAAACCTATATAGTCTTATTAACAAATGTCACCCCTAAAAATGTAATAAAAAAATGGGCATCAGTTAGTACTATGCCTTTGAGATCCTCTCATTTTTATGCTTTGAGTTTTTTTCCCTATGGGTCTGTGACATTAGATGTGAAATAGAAATAACATACACATTTAGAAAGACCTTCTTTCATAACTTTACTTTTTTTTTTACCATTATCATTTATTTCCTCTGGGGTAATGTGCCTTTTGAAACACAGAATTAAGGAACAGACCACACTTTGGCAAAAGCTTGTCTATGAATATTATATTTCAGCCAAAATCAAGTTGTTTTTGCTGTTTTAGGAACAAAGCTTCCACTGTAATATAAAAACCACTGCAAACATATCCTTGATATTTCTGTCAATATGCCAATAAAAAAAGTAAAAAATATGAAACCATAATAAAGCTTAAAATTAACTTCCACTCATAAATGTATATCATAGAGCAAAATCTCTTACATATAGTTATATACACATGCATAAATATAAGTATTCCTTAAAACAATTTGTAATATCAACATTTAAATTTTTACTTAAGCCCGGGCAGGCATGGCTCAGCAGTTGAGCATCGACCTAGGATCCAGGCAATCGGGGTTCGATTCCCGGTCAGGGCACATGCCCGGGTTGTGGGCTCGATCAATGACTTGTCATTGATGTTTCTATCTGTCTCTCTCCCCCTCCTTTCCTCTCTCTGAAATCAAAAAAGATATATTTAAAAAAAAAACCATAAATTTTTACTTAAAAACCCATTTAGTCAAATTTGATCCCAGTAATAAGCATGTAGAAAAGTAGACCCCATTTCATATTCTTTAGATAAATTTTTAATTATTTCTGTTCAAATATAGGAATGACAATTGTCTGGTTTCTTAAGGAAGGTCAGTGTGTCATGTAGGGAGAGAATTCCCTATAAGAACCTCAAAAATTAACAAAACTCCACCATTCTCTTTTGAGGGCCTGAGTAAGCAGCAGAAGAAAATTGGACTTAAACTGGCCTTTGACCAGGTTTATTTTCTTCAGTTTCTAGACTGTACATTGCTCAGAGCCCTTAGGGCCATTTGGCTGATTACTAGGCTGTTCTAGCATTTGTGCATTCTCTTTTATGGAATAAATGGCCCTACTTTGCCTACCCAGTCAATGCTACAAAGCAAGAAGGTGGCAGTACATTTTATGTAGCTCCTGCTAATTTTATATCTTAAAAGGCTGGCTAGTTCTTATTTATCCTTTGTAAAGCTTTTATTTGAGGCAGAAAACCTTGCTCTCCAACCCATTTTTTGAGTGCCAATACACAAATATTCTTCACCTTTTGGCAAATGATCAAGTACATAATTTAATTAATAGTTGTGAGTTATAATTTTAACACTTAAAATATTTTTTGGATCTCTAATAATGTGAATGCATAAATGAGAGAGATTTATAGGCACACATTCAATTATTTGTAAATTATTAATGAAAATTGTTATTTTTATTGTAAATTATTTGAGAAAATACTTGCTCAGGAAACTCTTTTTCACTGATTTGCATTGGAGATGGGTTTACACTATTCTTTACATATTTCATCTTTTTCTGGCAACGAGGCCTTCTTCTTGGGTACATAAGTCATGCTGGACAAAGAATGCTTTCTAAATGTAGACAGCCTTCTCCTAAAGTTCCCCCCTGAAAAGAAATATAGGAGAGGGTCAAAACAACAATTTGATGCAGCCAGAGACAAGGTTATGACTACTGACTTTTGCATTCTAAGGACAGAATCACAAGGTTTAGTTTCATTGTGTAAAAAGTGAAGGTGGATGGTACGCTGAATATGATATGGCATGAAGCTGATCAAAAAGGCAGCTGTCACAACTATAATCATTCCTATAGCTTTTTTACGACTTGATAGATTTTTCTTCATTGAATTTTTAAGTAAGGTCAAAATGATCATTGTATAACAGACAATTATAATAATAAAAGGAATGATAAATCCAACAAACAATGACACATAATGCAAGACCAAAACATGATTTTTAGCTTGATTATCCTGTGGAGGCTCAAAGCACTTGGTATTGTTTTTCTCATCTTTGTAAGGTGTGGACATTAAAAATGGAGAACTGGTCAAAATCACAAAAATCCAAATGCCAACACACACAAATCTGGCTTTTTTCTGTGTAACCAAGTTAACGTTCTGGACTGGGAAAACAATTGCAATGCACCGGAAAAAGCTCATGGCTGTCATAAAGAAGATGCTACAATAAAGGTTAACATACAAGGCATAGGTGCTGAGGCGGCATAAAAAGTCACCAAAGAGCCAAATGCCTTTGTGAACATAATAGACCACGCGGAGAGGCAGTGTACACACACACAGTAGATCTGCTACAGCTAAATTAATCATGTATATTTGGAAGGCTGACTTCTCATGATATGTTTTAATGAGGACATAGAGCACAAAGCCATTGCCAAAGAAGCCCACAACGGAGATCATAGAGTACAAGGTGGAATACACTTGATTGCGGAAGTCATCAATTGTGTCATTGCATGCAATATTACTGGCAGAAGATACTGTCATATTTCCAACTCCATCCATGTTTCTCTAGGAATGTCTGCTTGATGCCTACAATATATATATAAAAAAATTTTGTCAATTTTTACCAGACCATACATAACAGGAGGTACTAAGGTTTCACTTTGTAGTGTCACTATGTATGCATTTTGACCATGGCATGAAGCAAAGGTGGTGGGGCAATAAGGAAGGATTCAACTGCACCTAGTCCCCAGGAGAAGCACACTTTTCCCTCTCCTTTCCACCCATGTTTGCCTAATGGACTTCCTCCTAATCTTCAAGACCTAGCCAAAACAGCTCGGCTTTATATTAAGTCTTATTACTCCAGTATTATCCTGTAAATCCTACTTTAAAGTGAATTTGTTTTTAAATTAGAGAAAAAGCTCTAAAAATAGTGGTTTTATAAATATGAATCTATCTATTAAGCTATTTATCATCTATCGCCTATTTATTGAAAGTGCACTGAAATCTCTTGGAGAATAAACTCTGGATGAAAATGTGTCGTTCTCCCAAGAAGAGGGCTTCCTAGGTAACATCTGCTGGCTAATGTTCCTACCTAGGGAAAATAATTGGATTTGCTATTAATGGAACTCACTCCACTCCCCTGGGGGATAATCTTATTCTAGAATATGGTTGACTCTATTTAGAACCACAGATAGAGACATTTTAGAAGGATAGAGACATTTTAGAAGCCATCCAATTATTTTAATGAGGCAAATACAAAGAGGTGAAATGCATTTCTAAAATCCAAACCATAAGTTAAGACTCTGAGGAAAGACTTAGCATAACTCATTGGAATATACTTTCTGGGTGAGGGTATTGCAGCTGTTCATCCTTGTTCTCTTCCTAGACTCACACTCAAAGCCTTAACTGTTGAAAAATACATGACCATTTCTTTCATAACAAGAAGTTGTTACATGGTCTAGCCTAGTTCAATTATATCAGGACAGTTAATCAGGGCAATCAACAATCTCTGACCAGATAAAAATGGGGATAAGATAGAGTGGAAGGAGTGGTTTCTTTTGTGTTCCTCCAGATTCTTTTCCTTTAGTTTTTAAGAAGATGGGAGCAACTCATCAATATATAATATGGTAAATAACATTTGATTGAAGTCTAATTTGTTGGACTTTTACATAGCTCTTGCTCCATGATAAGAGAGGAGCTGGGGTTTGTAAGGCGAGAGAACTGCTTGAGCATGAAAGAACTGCCAGCAGTAGAGGGGACTGTTCTTGTCTCTGCATTAAGGACACAGAAACAAACAGCCATGATAGCAGTTGTAGGTGGGATATATCTCCCCAGGCTTACTATTGCTAGCAATTATATTTGCTGTGAAGATGTGTCATCTATCCATCCATTCAAGCTAGTTCCATTTTTTCCTTTCATTAAAAATGTTGGCATTATTTTCACCAAGAACTGTTGGTATATGATAAAAAAATTGAAGATGAATCATTCTGAGGGCGTATATCTTAAGACGATAGAGAAAAATGAGTTGATTATTCCTAATCTCTGCATTGTTTCTCAGTTTGCTTTCCAAGTACTTGCCTCTTTCACCATTTGTCCTCTGAACTCAGGTGTAGTTGTGGAAGAAAGGGAAACTGCCTGAACTTAATGTAGTCATTTTTTGTTAGCCTTGTATTGGGTTTTCCCCGAATAGAGCGGTGTTATGTTGTGAATCAGTAGATGGTGCTGTTGAGATTTTTGATGTAGCCTTTGTTTTAAGAAATACACTTGAAGAGTATTAGATAATTACCATCTGCCCTTCCTACCACCATTGACCCTCACTATGCCCTGCCACAAACTCTTTCCAGAATAATTTTTCATACATTATAGCTTCCAATTATGTCATGTCCTTGCTCTAAAACCTTCAATGGTTCCTCAGAATAAAATCCAGATTCCTTGTCCAGATTAAGGCTCTCTACAGTTTGGTTGCAACTAAAGTTTCCTAGCTTCTTTCTCATTTCTCCCCTTTGCAGATCCTAAAATTCAATGAACAACTATTTAGCTATACCAGGGCCTTTTTTTT